TCATTCAATAAATACACAAGGGGAGTACCTCGTGGCAGCAGCGTGCTCTCGTCCTCGTAGTGGCGGCGCTCGTCCTCGCGGCAGCAACGTACTCTCATCCTCGCAGCGGCGGCGCTCGTCCTACCGGGAGCAGCGTGCTCTCATCCTCGTGGCGGCGGCGCTCGTCCTCGCGGGGGCGGCGTGCTAGACCGGGCTGGGAGGCGGGTGTCGCGAGGGGAGGCACGGGCGCTGGCCTTAGCGGCGGCGGTGGCGGCGGGCAGCGGCGGCAGTCGCGGGCATGGCAGTGGCGTGGCGACGAGGGCGGTGGCGGGCGCGCCGGCGGGCGTGCCTTTACTGGGGCCAAGTGAGAGAGATAGAGAAAGGGAAGAGAGAGTCGCATCGCGGGCCTTTATTGGGGCCGTGATCTGTGGCGCGGCAGAGCTAGGCCACGTCACCGGTCGCTGCCACGGTGGCAGCCTGGCCACGGCGCCATGCATGGCGCGGTAGAGTGGTTTGGCCGTGCCATGTCAGTTGGCGCGTCCAAAAGTGTTTGTTTTGAAGAAAAAAACAGTGTCGGTTTTTAAAATAGTTTAAAAAAATGTTAAAAAAAATCATTTTGGCAATCCAGGTAGAAAAAAATCCTAGTATCCCATCCAAACAGTCTGTATTTTAGAAGGATTGTAACTCATAGATTTTTAGAATCACAAAATCCAATAAAATTGTTATGATTTTTTTTATCCGGATTCTTACAATTCGGTGGGATTCAAACGACACCTTAGCTGCCTCGTAAGGTAAGTGGAAGAGACAGACGTGCAAATGGTTCGAGTTTTGTTTGTCTGGTCTCCGAGGTGCATTTCCAAGGATGAACTATATATATATTTTTTAAAAATAATAGTATAATACTATCTCAATTCTAAATTATAAGATGTTTTATCTTTTCTAGATATATCGTTTTTCTATATACTTAGATATACACTATATCTATATACATAATAAAAACAATGTATCTATAAAAACAAGACATCTTATAATTTTTAACAAATGGAGTACTATAGTAGTACTAGAGTATTTCGTGGTCCTTCACTATCTCCTATGCCTATACGAGTTAGAGCAGGGTGTGTAGGGATGGTATAGAGTTTAACCCTAAAATGAATTAGAATACATGACATAATCATTGGATAATTCTTTAAATCTCTCATGCCTGTAAGAGTTAGAGTAGTGCGCACGTTACAGAATTCGATTCTAAGATGAATGAGAATGCATAATGCGATTGTTGAATGAATCTCCAAACTGTAAGTCGTCCAGGTGATTGTACAATAAACACGTCCAGTTATAACGCAAAGACGTATATACCAGTTGAAAAATAAATTCAACTTATTGCCTGATAACTATAACATGTCTAAAACTGCTTTATCATAAAATATAATATATTTTAAGTTATCCTAAACTAAATCATACTAAATTTGAACTATTTATACAAAACACATCATATTTACGTTAGAAAATTAGCACCATTAGATTATGATATATATATATATATATATATATATATATATATAATTTACTTCTTTGAATAATTAGACATTAATATTCTTCTCTATAAACTTATTATAGACTCAATCAAGCTTAAGATAACTCAAAATCTCATATTTTTCAGGGCCGATGGAGTAAACTTTTTCAAGTTGGTTATCTACTTATGCATTTGGATTGGCGCGGCACTGAGTACCTAACTTCTAGCTATTAGGACTAAAATTTTATTACTCAATATATGCATACTTACCATATGAGTTTTGGGTTAATTAGATCTATACCATTATAAATCCATTGTTTTTGAAGCATGCCGTTAGAACTCAAGAAATTGTGCTAATGCCATTATAATTATGCTACGGTTTGAGATACACCACTGTCTAGGTCTAAAACCGCCTTGGGACCACTGGTAGGCATATGGCCCACTGTTAGGCGTATGGACGGTTGCCATATTTGCATATGGGCCCACTGGTAGGCATATGGACGGTTCCCATATTTGCATATGGACCATTTTGCCCCTGCCCAAACGCATAGAGTCATGGTCTCAGCCCCTTACGCGAACCGTTCCCCATTCCTTCCCCAATCGGTAACCCTAGATTGAGGGCGCCTCTCTTCTTCACCGACGACGTCGAGATGATTGGCGGCACTTCACTAGGCCCTATTCTGGCGAAGACGAGGAGGATTGGGCATCCTCGATCCATGACGGTTCACATCAGTACTACGGTGATGGTCCAGTAGCGTTGTGGTGGCTATGATGGTCGACATCAGTGTAGCGGTGATGGCCCGTCTTCATAGCCACCGTAGCGCTAATGGACCGTCATTGTAGCATTGATGTTGACCTTCATGGATCGGGGATGCCTAATCCACCTCGTCTTCGCTAGAATCTGGCCTAGTGAAGCGTTGCCAATTGCCTTGACGTCGCTGGTGAAGATGAGAGGTGCCCTCAATCTAGGGTTACAGATTGGGGAAGGAATGGGGAACTCTTTGGGTAAGGGGTTGAGCCTGTGACTATGCATTTGGGCAGGAATACAAATACGAGAGGTGTCCATATACCTAGCAGTGGACACATATGCCTGCCATTGGGCCCAAGGCGGCGGCGGGCGAAGACAGTGGTGTATCTCAAACCGTTGCACAATTATAATAGCACCAGCACATGACATGCTTCAAAAACAGCGAATTTATAATGTCATAGATCTAATTAACCCATGAGTTTTATATCAATAGATTAAGTTACAAATGGACAATGATTTTTCTTACAAAATTCAACAATATAGACCAATTTGTCTATTGAATGTAAGTTTCAAGATTTTTACCAAAGTCGCTACCATTTGCATCAACTCAGTAGCCGATCATCTAATCAGCCCTACCCAAACGGTATTCATGCGAGGACGAAATATCCTAGAAGGAGTCGTCATCTTGCATGAAACAGTTCATGAGCTGCACCTAAAAAACAGAATGGGGTAATCTTTAAAATTGATTTTGAAAAGGCTTACGATAAAGTACGCTGGTCATTCTTATTGCAAACGCTTCGGATGAAAGGATTCTCACCCAAATGGATCGCGTGGGTCAATTCCTTCATATCAGGCAGAAGCGTGGCGATCAATGTTAATGATGAGGTCGGACCTTACTTCCAAACGAAGAAAGGTCTCTGACAAGGAGATCCCCTATCTCCAATACTATTCACCATCGTTGCCGATATGCTTGCAATTTTCATAGAGAGAGCAAAAGCAGATGGTCAAGTGGGTGGCGTGGTGCCACACCTAGTCGATGGTGGGCTTTCCATACTACAATACGCTGATGACACGATCCTCTTTATGGAACATGACCTGGAGAAGGCGCAAAACATCAAGCTACTGCTTTGTGCATTTGAACAACTATCGGGTCTAAAAATTAATTTCCATAAGAGTGAAATTTTCTGCTTTGGAAAAGCCAAAGATTTTGAGAACCAATACATTGAGCTCTTTGGCTGCAATCCAGGAACTTTCCCAATGAGGTATTTAGGTATTCCTATCCACTATAGGAAGTTATCAAATACCGATTGGATCAAGGTAGAAGACAGATTTGAAAAATGACTCAGCAGTTGGAAAAGGTAAGAACCTGTCAACTGGAGGTCGTTTGACACTAATCAACTCTGTGCTCAGCAGCCTACCGATGTATATGATATCCTTCTTTGAGATCCCAAAAGGAGTTCTTAAAAAGCTGGACTATTATCAATCTTGATTCTTCTGGCAATGTGATGACCATAAAAGAAAATACCGTCTAGCCAAATGGGATATCCTGTGTCAACCAAAGGACCAAGGTGGACTAGAGATTCACAACTTGCAAATCAATAATACGGCTTTGTTCAGTAAATGACTATATGGTCTGTTAAAGACAGATGGTACTTGGCAACAGATGTTACGCAACAAATATGTAGGGACTAAACCTCTAGTTCAAGTCCAATGGAAGAGCGGGGACTCTCATTTCTGGGCAGGTCTAATGAAGGCTAAACGGGATTTTCTTAGTTTTGGAACATTCCTCATCAAGGATGGATCACAAGTAATATTTTAGGAAGATAGATGATTCGGTAATACTACTTTGAAAGAGTAGTATCCCCATCTATATAACCTAGCTAGAAGGAAACAAGATACGATGGCCGCGGTTTTGAGTATGCAACCACCTAATGTATCTTGGCACAGAGACCTTTTAGGCGACAAGTTAGTGATGTGGAATAACCTTCTTTCACGTCTTACTCATGTTGCCTTAAGCCAGGAGGAAGACGAATTTTGGTGGAATTTAGATCAGAAGGGTGAATTTTCAGTAAAATCACATTACCTTGGTCTCATCTACCAAAACGTCCCTAACCTAAACAAGCGACTTTGGAAACTTAAAGCACCGTTGAAGATCAAAATCTTCCTGTGGTACTTGCGAAGACCATTGTTGTACCAGCCCCCCTCTAATCAGGTTGTGGTCATGGAGACCATTGTTGTTTGCTGGTTGCCTTGGTCTGTAGAGGTAGGATGCATAGAACAATTATTTGGTTACCTTGATTTGCGCTCGTGCCTGCATCACTGCTCTCGCGCGCGTACGCTTACGCTGCTCGTGTGAGCTAGACTGTGGGGTGCTAGTTGCATGCGTCTGGTCAGGCCCAAGAGGAAATACAGGCAACTAAACGGCTTGAGCCTGAACCCCGGGAGCTAGGTCAGACTATATCTAGCCAACAAAACAAGCCATAAAGAGATACTCCAAAACTTCAAATTTTTTGTGAAGCAACTCTTCACGGTGAAGTTGATAAAACTGAGTCGATGGAAAAGTCCCAAAATAGACCCTATAAACAATGGAGCTGGTTGAGCAAAGTCCTTAGCCGCCAGCAGATTATTTAGCCTAGGACCAGCAGTGATTATCACAAGTATAATATACTAATTATATAAACAAATAGAGCTGGTTGAGCAAAGTCCTTCCAATATATCTTGTCTGCCTCAGCCTCAGTAGCCTGCAGAGTGTGAGGAGAAGACATGTCTGCTTTCGTGCTCGCCGTCGCCGGCGCTGCCTTGCTTCTCGGCTTCCTCTACATCGTCAAGAACCGGCGGAGCAGGAGCAAACTCCCGCCGTCGCCCTCGTCTCTGCCGCTGGTCGGTCACCTCCATCTCATCGGTCGCCTCCCGCACCGGTCCCTACACGAGCTGCACCTCCGCTATGGCGGCGACGGGGGCCTCCTCCTCCTGCAGCTCGGGCGCCGGCGGACCCTGATCGTGTCCACGGCCGCGGCGGCCGCGGACCTGTTCCGCAACCACGACCTCGCCTTCTCCTCCCGCCCGTACAACGCGGCGGCTCACAAGCAGACGTACGGCTCCCGCAACATCTCCTTCTGGCCGTACGGGGACCACTGGCGCCGGGCCAAGAAGGTCGCGGTGGTGCACCTCCTCTCGCAGCGCCGCGTGGATGCGTTCGCGCCCGTGCGGCAAGCAGAGGCGGCCGCGCTGGTGGCGCGGACCCGGCGAGCCGCCGAGGCGGGAGAGGCCGTGCAGCTGAAGGAGCTCCTGTACGGCTACACCAACTCGGTGGTCACCCGCGCGGCGGCCGGGACAGCCGGGACGACGGCCGAGAGGCTGAGGCAGCTGCTGTCGCACACCGCGACGCTGTTGGCCGGGTTCCAGGCGGACGACGTGCTGCCGGACGCGGCGGCAAGGGTGTTCAGGTGGGCGACGGGGCTCGAGAAGAAGATCGACGATATGAACGCGGGTTGGGACAGGTTCCTGTCGGAGATCGTGTCCGAGCACAAGGAGAAGACGAGGCCGGCTGGGTAGGGACAGGGTGGTGATTTCTTGGACGTCCTCCTGCAGCTGAGGGAAGAAGGCGGCCTCGAAGGCTTCGAGCTCACGGACGACGATGCCATCAAAGCCATCGCCAAGGTGATGACAGATCCATTTCTTTCTAAAATCTTGCACGTCCGCGGTCCTCCTGACCCCGGCGACGATCCATTCCTTGCGTTGACCTCCGTGCGTGGCGTGCATGCAGGACATGATAGCCGCTGCGACGGAAACAACAGCCGTGACGCTGGAATGGGCTTTGGCGGAGCTCGCCCGAAACCCGCGGGTTATGGCCAAGCTGCAGGACGAGATCGCGCGCGTGGCCGGCAACTCCGAGCAGGTAACGGCCATCGGAGACGCTGAGCTGAACAGGATGGTCTACCTGAGGGCGGTGGTGAAAGAGGTGTTCCGCCCGCCGGTGCCGGCTCCTCCTCCCGCGCGAGTCCATGACCGCGGCGGCCGTGCAGGGCGGCAGGTACGAGATCCCCGCGAAGACCGCGCTGCTAGTCAACGCGTGGGCGATCGGGAGGGACCCCGCGGCGTGGGACGCGCCGGAGGAGTTCCGGCCAGAGCGGTTCCTGGCCGGCAGCGAGGCGAAGGCGGTGGACTTGAGGGGGACGGACTACCAGCTCCTCCCGTTCGGCGCGGGGAGGAGGATCTGCCCCGGCATCAGCTTCGCGCTGGCAGCCCTGGAGCTCGCGCTCGCCAGCCTCCTGCGCCACTTCGACTGGGAGCTCCCCAGCGGCATGCGCCCGGCGGACCTGGACATGGTCGAGGCGCCGGGGCTCTCGACGCCGCCGCGCGGGTGCCCCTTGTCCTCGTCCCCAAGCTGAAGCCGCTTGCTTAACTGATGCTTAGGCATGCGGCACTGCACACTGCAGTTTGCGTTAGGAATATAATGGACGATATGTCATGGATGTTGCCATGTTGGTGTAAGCCTGCTGTTCACTGAAGCCAAAGGAGCTGCGTGCTTGCTGGAGTGGCAGGAGCAAGCCATTCGAATTCAAGTGGACACGGCGGGAGCAATTGACGCAGAGGGTGCTGGTGACCGCGCCCACGTCGTGCACGCCCAGGCGGTTTTACGCTGAAGTCTCTGTGTATCTCATTTTAGCAGCTGTTTAAGTGTTCAATTGTGTGTGTAAGCTACTGATATAAGTAGCTGGAACTTCATAGTTCGTGTCAGCGCATTGCAACCAGTGTAATCGTGTTTGTAATGTTCATTACACATCAGTGAAAATAGCACTGTCCTCTGGCAGTTGCAGTTCGTGTACTTCTTTGTTCTTGCACGTTCCCTATGTTCTAGGCTAGACACCGTGATAACTAGCTATGATTGTGATCCTAGGTGGTAACATTTGGTATCAAATCCATAATCACACGCTAATTACCTTTAGATCTCTCCAATGGGTGATCATCGTAGTGCTGGCGGTGGTGGAGTTGGCAGCGGAGTCGGCGGTGGTGGGCAGATTGCGTACCCTCCGTTGATGGCAACCAACTATACGAGTTGGAGCATCTGTGTGGGCGATCATGGAGGACCAAGGTGTGTGAGAGATCGTGGAGCCACCGTCGGGGACATCTACCCAAAGGGAAGACTTTAGCCAAGGTGAGGAAGGACAAGAAGGTGCGGGCAGACCTACTTCAGCCTGATGATCTTTTGATGCAAGTCGCGAAGAAGAAGAAGGGGAAGGAAGTGTGGGATTCACTGAAGGCAAGGTTTGTAGGTGTTGATCGCATCAAGGAGGCGCGATTACAAACCTTGAAGAGCGAGTTCGATGCTATGCAGATGAAGGAGGATGAACCACTTGTTTTCAGGTTGGTTTGGTGCTCAAAGGAAGAAAGGATGAGCTTGTTTAGGAGAGCTCCAGCACGTACAGATCTGTAAACGACAACTCTACTTCCATTTTTCAATCAAACACTTGTAGCTCCACACAGATCCACCATAGAGTAGTTCTACGAAATCCATAGATCTACCCCCCTATCCATGGATTCTATGAGCATCTCAAAGAGTGCTCTAAAAACTCAAGTTTGGTGGAGTTTCGAAAGATTAGCCACCATGATACTCATTACACAAAGATAACGGTTTGTTTTCTTCTTTCTGGTTCTTCTTTTCGTCAGGTAGTCCCCCCGGTGCTCATGGTCATGGTCATGCTCAGCTCACCGGTAGAGAAATGACCTTTCATCCGCTTCGATTTTGGGCTTTAGTCTCGGTATTTTTTGCGTCCGAGAGTAAAGGAAGAATTAGTCCCGGTTGGAGCTACCAACAGGGACTAAAGGCCCCTATCTTGGCACGCTTTCGCAGCAGGCCACCTTTAGTCCCGGTTGGTAACACCAACCGGGACTAAAGGGTGACCTTTTAGTCCCGGTTGGTGTCACCAACCCGGATTAAAGGTCTTCTACCCGGGACTAAAGGTACCCCATAGGTCAATTCAAAAGGAGAGTGTCCAGAACCCTGTTATATGTGGTGTACAGCTGAATTGGTAAGGATTTTATGCATGAGGAAAGAGGTCCTGGGTTCGAATCTCACACATCGCAAGAGAGGTCTCCCTACAATTTTGTTTATTTTTCTCCTGAGGATGGACCTTTAGTCCCGGTTACGTGACCCGGGACTAAAGGCCATGACCTTTAGTCCCGGATTCGTAGTTCCGGTTGAAAAACCGGGACTAAAGCTAGTAACCAACCGGGACTACAACCCATTTCTCTACTAAGTAGCTCCTCCCTGGCCGCGCCATGGCCGGCGCCGCCGTGGCCACTCTCGTGCTCAGCATACTGTAGCGACACTACTCATTTGAATCGGTTTCTCACTGTTGACACCGTTTTTTGCACGTGTCAAAATGATCAGAGTAGGCTAATCGGCAGGAGGAAAGTTACTGTATACGCTGACAGCCGATGAAAATCAGCTTGTAAAGATGGTTGCCGATGAATGGTGGTGATCGATGGAAAGGTTGATTTAGACTCGGGCGTTGCCGATAAGGTTGGAGATGTTAGTGTCGATGCCGATGAAGGAAGGCTTGAAAACTACTGCCGATGAAACAGGAAGTATGCCGATGGAAAGGAGGTCGGTGAGAATTCCATCGTAATTGAGGCGGACAGGGAAATAGATAGTGAAAGGATCAAGATGCCCAAGAGGGGGGGTGAATTGGGCTAATTCTAAATTTTCTTGCAATAATCAAAACCTACGGATAGCCCAATTAACCCCTTGTGCCTAAAAAGTGTTTATATCAAACTAATGCACAACAACCTCGCAATCAACGTTCCAAACTTACTCTAGCAAGCAATTCTATGGATGTAAGACAAGTATTGAAATGCTCAAAGTAAATACTCAAAGTAAGTGCTCAACGTAAATAGAGAGAGAAAGGAACGCGGCGATGTTTTGCCGAGGTATCGGAGAGTCGCCACTCCCCACTAGTCCTCGTTGGAGCACCCGCGCAAGGGTGTAGCTCCCCTTGATCAGCGCGCAAGGATCAAGTGCTCTCACTGGGTTGATTCTTCGACACTCCGTCATGAATCACCCAAAACCGCTCACAACTTGAGTTGGGTCACCCACAAGCTCCGGCCGGTGAACACCAAACTCCCAATCACCACCAAGCCGTCTAGGTGATGGCGATCACCAAGAGTAACAAGCACGAACTCTCACTTGACCACATGAAGCCTAATGAGAAAATGGATGCACACTTTGCTACTCTTGATTTGCTAGTGAGGCTACTCTCTTGGATTCTCAAATCACAAACACCTCACTAGGACCTTGCTCTTCTTGGCACTCACAAACGTGTTTCTCGGTTTGTTAGAATGAGCAAAAGATACTCCACTCACGAGTGGACCTTCTATTTATAAGCCCGACTGAAAAACGAACCGTATATGAGCTTCGCGGGGCGACCGGACGCCCGATCGTGATGACCGGACGCTCCGGTCAGTTCAACCCGCGAACCAAGATTAAAGAGACGCCGGACGACTGGCGAGGTCCGATCAGACCGACCGGACGCGTCTGGTCGCATAAAACCCTTATGGAACCTTCTTATCGAGTCGACCGGACATTTGAACCCTCGTGGTCCGGTCAAGACCGACCGGACGACGCGTCCGATCACTCTTTCCCAAGTCTGGACCCTTCATCGAGTCGCCGGACGCTGGTCCTCGGCGTCCGGTCCACATGTTTCTTCCAGCGTCCGGTCACACCTGACTTGATTACCTCGATCAAATAAAGCGACCGGACCTGCGGGCCGGTCCAGTCCGCACGGCAGCTCGGCGTCCGGTCAGTGTTTGACCCTTCATTCACTTCCAACTTCCGAATATATGTGAATGAATTGTGCTCCAAAAGATCTTAGGCATTCATAGGAGCTACCTAGAGCTAGTTCAAACAAGTGTGCACCACACCTAACTCACTAGACTTAACTAGGTCAAGCTACCCGTTCATACCCCCCTTCATAGTACGGCCAAAGGAAAAAAACAAAGTCCTAAACTACTCTAAGTGTCTCTCCAACTTCAATTGACACTTAGAACTAGTTATCCTTAACCTTGTCGTCCATCCTTTGAAAACCGAAACGATTTCCATCGTAGGGGCATGACAACCTCAATTGCCCAATCGATCTCCATTACCATGACCTAACTTAATTGCCTCTGCAAAACACACGTTAGTCATAGTAATCTTGTATTGACATCAATCACCGAAATCCAACTAGGGGCCTAGATGCTTTCAATCTCCCCCTTTTTGGTGATTGATGACAACACCACCTCGAGTATGTTATGGAGTGAGTTTTTTTTTTTTTTGACGGGCTTGGTTCATATAAGCTTTTGTCAAAAAGAACAAAAGAGTTAGGCAAGCTTATATGACCCAAGCCAACACAATGTACTCAAAGAATATGGATTAAGCATGAGTACACTTTAACAAAGCTCATTTGCTTCAAAGTATAAACGCGGAAGCAAAATCAAATGAGCATCACACAAGTGATATGACATATAGATAAAGCAAAGTAGAAGTCACACATGTCAAATATCATAATCATGTAGATAGCACTATCACATATATATAATAGTATGCATGAAAGTAAACACACGAATGCATAAGTAATAGTGTATCACACAAATAAAACTCCAAATGTATATAATAAGCTAATCTTTGGATAACTAGCTCCCCTAAAACTCGCTCCCCTAAGTCTACATACTCAAACCCTCTCCCCTTTGGCGCCAAACACCAAAGCCTAGGGGTCAGACGGACAGGCGGGCTGCAGTGACCAGACAGCGGGCGCTGAAAGCACGTGGAGCAAGATGGGAAAGGCGCCATCATCATCGACCGAGCTCGAACCGACCGACCCTCCAAGCGAGGAAGTGTCGCCAAACAGTCAGGTCTGAGCAGGGTGAAAGTCTTGCCTGTGAATCTGCAAGTATGTCTGTCGTGGGATCGACGAGGCTGACAGACGAGGGAGCCTCGAGTAGTCATGATAGCTGGAGCTCTTTGTGAGACGGACCGGCTGGCATGCATGTGAGGGGAGTAGGCATGCCGGTCAACTCACTGAATGATGCTCCAAGACTCCTGGAGACTGACGACTCAGGCACGAATAGTGAGGAAGTCTGCTCTGGTGAGAAACCCGTGTGATAAGGAGTGAATCATGGGCTACAGTGTGAGGCTAACCATTGGGACACTGTCACAGGAGGTGAAGGAAACTGAGCTGGAGGCTGTCCCTGACTCTGAAGCCCACTGGGCTGTACTGCTGGAGTCGTCGAAGTGGTGGGAGGCTGTGTAAGCTGGGGTGAAGGCTGTGGCAGGGGGACCCCAATAGCTGTCACTACATGCTGCATGAATCCCATGAGCTACTGCTGCATAAGTAATCTTCTTTGGTTTGAA